TGATCAGTAGCGAGCCAGAAGTGGAGCCCTTCCACCAATCAGCGGTGGGAGGGCATGGGGGAACCTGCAAGATTAAAGGAGCCATAGTGCACCCCACTTCTGTCAAGAATTCAGTAGGTCCCTACCCACTCGACTAACTGACTGCACGTTAGCACAGTTTTTGCCAGCTGCGCTAATGCGTAGTACAGGGGTTGTCAACTGGGGGTACACGTACCCCTACGGGTACTTGGAAAGGTTATAGGGGTTACGTGCGGGCGGTGGGGGAGGTGAGGGCAGTGGCGCCCCTCTGTGGATAGACATGGGGCGGGGGGGCTCACATGCAGTGGCCGCCACTGCCCCCACCACCCCAGGCCACCATGAACCACCCTGCACCACCACCTCTCAGGGCCGGGGGGTGGGAGCAGCAGTGCCCCTCTGCAGGCTGCACAGGGGCCACCCAGTTGGCCAGACACGGGGCAGGCGGGCTTGCATGGGGCAGCCGCCACCCCGCACTGCCACCCATCACCCCACGCCATTTTCCCACAGCCGGTCACACATGCGGCTCCGTGGGCTGCTCACAAGCAGTATACGATTAGCCAGGTGCGAGGCCAGTCAGCTGTCCACAGAGCCACACATGCGACTGGACATGGGAAAACAGTGCATGGTGGCGGTATGGGGTGATGGGTGACGGCAGCAGCAGCATTGTGCCACACCCCCCCCCCCCCCCCCCCCACCGCCCCCCCCAAGTGGGGCCCTTGTTGTACCCCCCCCCCCCCCCCCGTCTACTGCCACCAGAAGTGGTGCACTTGTTAGAAAAGGTGGAAAATCCCTGGAGTAGCAGAATTAATCCAATGGGCATTAAGCATCTCATGTAGACACATCGACTATGCACATAACTACTCTACTATAGAGTAAAAGTGGTTCTCAGAGATGTGTTGTCTTCATTTATTTACACTTTTCACTTTGTCTTTGCTGTGCACATGGCCAAAAGCTTCTGACCTCTAACTTGTTGACAATGACCACTGATTTGTGCCACCGCACTGAGTGCTCTTACCCCATATATTAAGAGCTTAAAAAGGCAGAAATGAGTAAAATACCTTTTAGCTCTTTCACTAATAAATAATTAAGACTTAGAAGTGAGGAAGAGAAGGAGAACATACTGTGAAATACATATAGACAACCCAGGTCAAAGTACTGCAGTAACTATAAGCTAAGCAACTTTTCTCCTTCACGCAAATGTCTGTATCTATCTCACTCCTCGCAATTCCCACACAGTAAGCAGGTCAGAAATAGGTGCCTATTTAGACATAAAAACACATCCCTGTCCTAGTGGGCATTTGGCCTAGGTACCTCTATGAGTATAAACAGACAACACCAAATAAAATGTAGCAGGATGTGTCCACCACAACTGAACTACTTCATTGGGTACGACACATTGCCCATTGTCCTACATGGGACAGCAACCCAATCTGAAGAACAGCTGTTGTGTTTCCTGCTTACAATAATGCATCTTGGAGAATCCCTGAGGCATATCTTTGCATGTGGGGAAATCCAAGCAGATGCTCCCAGGGCATCAGGAGCCTGATCCTCCATGGGAATTCCCAGGGAGCAAAATATCAGGCCCCTCAAGTCCTAGGAGGCACCTGCTTCAATAACGTTTCAGAAACTAATATCATCTTTGTTGGAGCCAAAAAATTTGGGGAATTTGCAGGGTAATAAAAGGCATGGATGCCTGTATGATTGGCCTTTGTGCCGCCATAAACATTTTTATGGTGGACCTGGCTTTTTAAGCTCTCCTGGCTGGTATGAATGCCCCCCAGAATGCCACTGGAGCTGTAAAGCACAGGCTCTTACCCTCTAGCTGCCTGCACCAGGGCATGGTGCAGCCCAGTGGCTACAGGCAGCTGGCATCGGCTCCCACCGGGGCTGCTGCAGCAGGAGCTGGGGTGAGTGGGGACAGGCAGAGCCCTGTGGGGTTTGGGGCATGGTGCAGCTCAGTGCCTATAGGCAGCTGGTGTTGGCCACTCCTAGGGCCGCTGCAGCCGGGGCTGCTGAGTGCTGTGCCCTGCCCCACCCGGGGCTCTGGTTGTTCGCAGTCACCCTAGGCCGTGCTGGCCCCAGAAGCAGCCAACACCAGCTGCCTGCACTAAGACACAGCGAGCCCAGGAGCAAAGGCACGGGGGCGACAGGCGGAGCACGGTGCAGCCCAGTGGCTGCAGGCAGCTGCAGCTGGGGCTGGGGTGAATGGGGCCACAGCCCTTTCCCCTCCCCTCACAGACTTACCTGCTTGGGCAGGGTGTGGGAGGGGTGTCTATGCTGATCACATAAGAGTGAATTTACCTCACATATAATGAATTATGGGTCTATATATGCTCATTGCATAAGAGCATATTCGCACATAAAGAACTTGCATAAATCGAGGGAAACCTGTACATGTAAACTAGAAAAGGGCTTGTAATAAAGCTCCTCAAAACAAAATTACTGCTTCTTGTTTCTCTAAACATGGCTGAAATAAGACAAGAGAAATTTCTATATCTGAAATACCTACAGGACCTAATTTTTTGGCAAGAAAGAAAGAGATATTCTCTGCACAGGTTATGGATTTGCTGACTGTGGTGGAACTAGCTAAATTAATGTTTCCAATTAATGTCCCTGACTTCACACTAACAGAGCTAACTACTGCTGTACAACCATTAGTTTGAAAACCTCATGATGTCTAGGACACTAAAATAGTGCACACCCCCAAGCAAATGTTCCCAGGACAGAAGAAATGGAGTCAAGTCTTTTAGTAGCCCAAGTTTTTGTAGCATTTAAAAAAATTATCTTAATGTTCCTCCTACCCAAAAATTATAGATCAGCCTTCAAAAATTTATGGAAGCTATTTTTATTCTAATAAAATAGCCTAATCCTCCATCACTTCACCAGTTTAACTTCCAAATAAAATGAATATTTGCATTAAATGTAATTTCTCCAGGGTTGTCTTATTGATGTCAAGGATTGCAATGGCCTTAGAGGACAAACACAATCTCTTTGACCAAAGCTGAAGATCTTGAAACTGACAATATAAAAACTACATAAATGTATTCTATCCCTAATGGCATCAGAAATTACTCCTGACTTGTTACTCTACTTATGATTGTTTTTGCCCATCTATGAATTGTATGAATTTGTAGAATATTGGATGCTGAACCACTGGTAAAATAGTAATTTTCTAACTATTTTGAATAAATATTGTTTATCCTGTTTTACAACAGCGCTCATGTAATACAAAAGACTTAGTGATACAGTATACTGAAATGAGAAAGAAAGTCTCATTTCAAATCTTTTGCCAAACTCAGTAAGGTCAAGTTTTACAAACCATTTTCCTCACCTGAGTTTAAGAGCTCTTCAACTAAGGACACATTCCCGGAAGTCAATGCTTTCTTTAATCTTTCTTCCTTGTCTTTTATCTGCAATGTGTCATTAAATGTCTAAATAGGGATGGAAATGAAAAAAGAACTAGGTTACTTCATGATACACATTATGATGCAGTTTTTTAATTCAATTTTTAATATACTTTGAAGGCAAGGGGAGGGAAGGAAGTACAATAAAAATAAATGTTTTTTCCCCAAATCTTGGTCTGAATTGTTACCAGAATTAGTTTAGTTTCTGCTAAAATATACTGATAAGGAAATGCAAGGGTCAAAATTATAAAGAGAAAAGAAGAATAACTACAGAATGGCATTTTATTACTCAGCAAATCTGCTCCAAGTGTATTTAATCATATTACACTATATTATTTAAAAATTAAAATGTTATTAACTACATAGAACATAGCAAAAGTAGTTTATTTCTTGCTTGCACAGAAACAATTTATAATATTTACAATAGCAGAACTATTTGTGCAAGTCTCTCATCTTCAGATTAAGTTCTGAGTAATATTTGCATGCACAGAATCAAGACCTCGCTGGATGCATGAATATAACAGAAGCAGTACTTGGTTATACGTATACGTGCATCTATTACTGATGGAATATTAGGGGTAAGAGAAATCATTAATATTTCTTTCTTTCTAGTCACAATATATAGGATGTGTCATAGACTTCATCTTTCCCAGTTTTCTAACATTGGTTAAACCTTACAGATGTTAGGAACCCTAAGGCCCCTAAGCCTATCCCTTTGCAAAATTTGCTAATTCCTGCTACAAGCTTAATAAACTGTCATAAACTTGAGTACATCTTTAAAAGGAAATGCAACCTTGACTTAAAAACCTCAGGGAAAGGATGAATACTATCACATCCCTTAATAAACTGTTTTCATCATCAATTCCAATATTTTAAAAGTTTGTATTCTGTTTCCAACTCCAATTGCAGCTGCATAATATCTACTAGCCTAAAGAGCCTTCTATCAAATGATTTCTACTTATGTAAGTATTTATACAGTACGGCCAAAAGACCTTGTAATCTTCATGTCAATAAAATAAACAGATTGAGCTCCTTAATTCCTTCATTGAGAAGCATGCTTTCAAGGCATCAAATCTTTGTTAAGCTCTTTTCTGAACCCTTTCCAATATTCACCATCTTTTCTATTGCATGGACACAATACTCCAGTAGTATTCTCACCATATTCAGAGGTAATTCAGGCTGGATTCATTAAAAAAAAAAACAAACAAAAAATCACACTTATTTCAATCACCCATTTTAATCAACAAGTAAAAAGAATTAATTTAAGGTTGATATATATAATTAATATTCATCTTGTTTTACATTTGTACTTTTTAGTCATTTACCAGTTCTCATCGGGCACATCTACACGTAGCCCTACGGTGGCGAGCTATGCTGCTGTATGGTGCGCTACAGCAATGTAGCGATCACGTGTGTCTACACATGATGATCAGCGACATCGCTGTAGCAGCACGCTTCCCAGGTACTGCATGCCACTATGGCAATGTAGCACTGAAATCTACCAGTACACCATGCACATGGCACAGTAACTACCCGTACTGTGCCGTGCTTTAGTACTTCCTTTTGGAGGTACTAAAGCATGGCACCGTAGCAACATTGCTTTACAGTGAAATGTAGATATGCCTGGTTTGTATCATATTATATCACTTTCCTCAGGATTACCAAAAAGTACCTGTCCACATGTATTTAAGCAACAATTTTACTTAACACATATTAATTAAAATTATTACTTTGTCAAAAAAATGATGAATAGCATTTTTTTTCTTTACTAAATGATTTACTGGTCATTTATTTCAAACTGCATTTGGATGGAAACTGGAATTAAAAAATCATTTATTAGTGAAATTAATTTACTTTAACCATGCCAGATACACAGTTGTTAAATCAGTTTTAAATCAAAACATGTTCTGATAAACAAAAGTTAGTCAGAAGGTGTGGGAGATACGCACCTTTATAGACTAAGAGAGGCAGGGAAAGAGTGCACGCACACAAGCTTTTGTGAACGCACATTCACTTCATCAGATGCTGATTTCCTTAAAGATTTTAGAACTGATCTTAAAGAGGGAGAAAGAGAACAAGAAGGAGAGCCAAGTCCAGCTAGTTAACCACCTCTGAACTAATGGTTGGGCACAACTGTTTGAATGAACAGAAATAAAAATACTCCCCTTGCACCTATGGAACTGTTTTAAATACTTCAACAAATTCAGGGGCCAGATCCTTAAATAACTCTAACAGGTTCTGTGGCTTGATTTAGTTAATACTCAGGTAGCACATGCTTGTTGTCAATGTATTTATTCAATTATATCAAGTTTTCATGGAGCACATTTTAAAAGAAGTATGTCTAAAACTGGAAAAAGAAGTGATGTGCCCAACCTGAAGCAACTTTACTTTTGTATTACTACTGCATATTATATTTCAGCAGTTGTGTTTGGAGGCTACAAAGAGCTCAAGGTGCTCTCATTATGCAGTTTCATGCTGAGTTCCACCACATGAAGACTTTCATGCAAATTAAGGACCTTACTAGGATCATCTTTGACTTCTCTTCAACCTGATCATGATTAATCAACACATTTTAGTTGGCATTATAGACAGCCTCAATGAACATAACTGCACCACGTCAACAGAACACCAGGGACCACTGCAGCTAGGCATGGCACACTTAATACCTTCAAAATAGAGGTACATTACCGGAAGCCCGCCACATGATAATAAGGGCTCACTCTCAGGAGAATTTACTGGCACATTCCTAGCTGTGGATGAGGGGTATGGGCACAATTAACAACTGAAACTTCTCCAAGTGGAACACACTTGGAAACATTTCATAAAGGAAATATTTCAGTCAGGGAACACCCGCTCCCTTCCTGGCTGGAACGTTTCAGACCATTACATAAGAACTACCATTTACAGGGTCACACCATAGGTTCATCTTGCCCAGTAGCTCATCACACAGGCATTGGAGGGCCAATAGGCATTGTCCGGTGTGCTGTGCTCGGTGTCCCTCCTTGGCACTCGTTATGAACCTCTGACCTCCACTCCTGTCCCTGTTTTCATTATTTGTCCCAAATAATCTGCAGTACATCACTAGTAGCCCCCAGTACTAATGGCATGCCTGGGTCCATGAAATCCTCTGACGTGTTAAAAGTCCTGTCACAGGCATTTGAGGGCCAGTAGGCACTGTCCAGTGTGCTCTGCTCGGTGTCCCCCTTGGCACTTGTTATAAACCTTTGACCTCCACTCCTGTCCCTGTTTTCATTATTATTCGTCCCAAGTAATCTATAGCACGTCATCAGTGGCCCCCAGTATTAAGGGGGGCTTATAATTTCCTTGGTGGGCACCTGGGCTCATGTTCTGCCCTGATATGTTGTAAGTCCTGTCATACCGGCATTCGAGGGCCAGTGAGTGCTGGCCAGTGTGCTCTGCTGTCTCCCCTTGGCACCCTTGTTATGAACCTTTGACCAGCACCCCTGTCCCTATTTTTTTTTTTTTTTATTATTTGTCCCCAGTAATCAATTTTCACCTTTTCTGTAGCTTTCCCATCTGAGAGAGGCCAATAGCTTACTTAGTGTGCATGGACCCGCACCCCTCAAGGTGGCAAACAGGCCTATCGTGTAGACATTCAAGGGCCAGTGGGCATTGTCCGGTGTGCACTGCACATTCTTCCCCCATTCTTCCTTGGTGGACTCATTATGAACCTATGACCTTCAGTCCCACCCCCATTTTGGCTTTGAGCTGTCCCAAGCAATAAGTGATGTGTTCTTAGTGGCCCCCATTACTAAGGGCGGCTTAACTCTACTTGGTGAGCTTTGGCCCACGTTCCAGAATGGCAGATCAAAAGGCCTGTCACAGTGGGCGCATCTACACGTGCTATTAAAGCAATGCAATAAACTCTGATGCAGTTTGTGTCGGAGTCTGTCGCTCCTGGGCACAGCTTCTGCATGTGCACCCGCAGCCACAGTAGTTTGAGCTGAGGCGGAACAGCCACAGGCTGGCAGAGGACCCAGGGGGTCAGCCCCAGGCTCTGGGTGGCAACGTTGGGCAGCAAAGCAAGAGGGAGCTTAAGTGTGGGGCTAGGCGGCTGGCAGCCCCTGTACTTTAGCACCCTTGTGACCCAGCCAGCCCCACCCCTCTCTGTCTATGCATGCATTTCAACACATGTAATTACTCTGCCATAGGATAGCACCACCCCTGATAGTACTATCCTACAGCAGAGTTAATGAATTTACTGCACCCGAATATTTGCGCACGTGTAGGAAGTGATGCTTTACTGCAGAGCTAATTAGCCAACTACAGTAAAGCGCATGTGTAGACGCACCAACAGGCACTCATTCTGAACCTTTGACCATCACTCTCATCCCTGTTTTGCCTTTCTTTTCCCTCAAGAAATGAGTTGTCACTTTCTCAGGGGCCTCTGGTGGGCATAATCCCTTAAAAGTAACATATAAGTCTGAATCACATGGCAGCAGAAATTGGATGCTGAAAGGAAGAGTGAACTGAGTCTGACCAAGGGTTTTTTTCTACCTCCTTGCCATACCAAGTCACCCCTGCCCGCGGTTCACAACAGCTCACCAAACCTAAGTAACTCTGCCCCAGGTCCCTGTCCTGTGCTGTCACCACCCCGTTATCCTAGCCCCAGCCCCAAGGTCTCCATGGAGACTGGACCCCCATGGGCAGGGTGCGCTCAGTCAGGGGTCAGGATGGGACTGCAGGCAGGTGAGGAGCGGCATCTGGAAGCAGGACATGCGGGCAGGGCCAGGGGATTGTGGGGTGGGGACACGCAGGGCTAGGGCTCAGGGCAGAGCGGTGATTTGTTCCTGGCGCACCCCTGCCTGCAGAAGCAGTGCCCACTGCAGGGATGTCCAGGCAACTGACTGCGGCTCTGCCCCGCAATCCTGGCCCCGGCCCTGGTGCCCACCCCCTGCCCCCCGCCGG